ATGCTTCGAAGTCTTGTTCGCCTACAGGGCAAGGACGTGCGCTTTGGTGAAGAGGCCCGCCGCTTGATCCAGAAGGGTGTGTCGCGCGCCGTGGCTGCTGTTGCCACCACGCTCGGCCCCAAGGGCCGCAATGTCATCATCGAGCAGTCGTACGGTTCACCCAAGATCACAAAGGACGGAGTGACGGTGGCCAAGGCGATCGAGTTCAAGGATCCCTTTGAGAACATGGGAGCACAGCTTGTTAGGCAGGTGTGTAACAAGACTAACGACCTTGCCGGTGATGGTACGACGACGTCGGCTGTGCTTGTGGACAGCATCTTCAGCGAGGGTATGAAGCACATCTCCCGTGGGACGAACCCGATTGATATGAAGCGTGGGATGGACAAGGCTGTGGAGAAGATTCTGAAGAGCGTGGAGATGCAAAGCCGCCCAGTCAAGGGCACCGAGGACATTGTCCGTGTCGCAACGATCTCGGCGAATGGCGACAGTGTGATCGGCTCGCTGATTGGCGAGGCGATGGAGAAGGTCGGTCGCGACGGTGTGATCACGTGCCAGGACGGCAAGACGATGTCGACGGAGCTGGACGTGGTGGAGGGGATGAGCATCGATCGCGGGTACGTGAGCCCGTACTTCTTGACCGACGCGAAAACGCAGAGGGCGGAGCTTGAGGATGCGTTGGTCCTGATGAGCTGCAAGAAGATCCAGAATATCCACACGCTGTTGCCAGTGCTAAACCACGTTGTGCGCACCGGCCGTGCGCTCCTGATCATCGCGGATGACGTGGAGAGCGAGGCGCTGACGACGATTATCTTCAACAAGCTTCAGGGCAAGCTGAAGGTGTGCTGCGTGAAGGCACCTGGGTTTGGTGATAACAAGACGGCGATGCTGGAGGACATGGCTGTCTTCACCGGCTCACAGCTTGTAGGGAGCGAGGGCACCGGCCTGGAGCTAGATGCTGAGAACTTTGACCCGTCGATCCTTGGCAGCGTCAGGAAGGTCACCGTGACGAAGGACGACACTGTGATGCTGAGCGGTGGCGGCGACGCGGCCGCGGTGAAGGATCGCGTGGAGCTGCTGCGCGAGCTTATTGCCAACGAGACGAGCGAATACAACCGTGATAAGCTGAAGGAGCGCCTGGCGAAGCTGAGCGGCGGTGTGGCCGTAGTTAAGGTCGGTGGCAACTCTGAGGTGGAGGTGAACGAGAAGAAGGACCGTATTGAGGATGCGCTGTGCTCTACACGCGCTGCTGTGCACGAGGGGATCGTCGCTGGTGGCGGCATGGCACTGCTGCGAGCAAGCTCGGAGCTGGAGAGCTTGGAGAATGACGAGTCGTTGACGCGTGACCAGCGCACTGGCGTGCAGATCATCCGCAATGCTGTGCGCCTGCCTGCGATGACCCTTGTGGCGAACGCAGGCAAGGAGGGTGCTGTGGTGGTGGAGAAGATCCTTGAGAACAAGGACACCTCTGTTGGCTATGATGTACTCAATGATCGCTACGTGAATATGTTTGAGGCCGGCATCGTCGATCCGACTCGCGTTGTGCGTGTGGCCATTACGGACGCCACCTCAGTCGCCAGCATGATGATGACAGCAGAGGCCGCTATTGTGGATCTACCAAAGAAGGAGTCCGCACCTCCAATGGGTGGCATGGGCGGTATGGGTGGCATGGGTGGCATGGATTTTTAAGTAACAGTACTAGCATTGTGTAATGGAAGCCCTTTACTGTTTCGAGGACAACATTTCGGTGTTCGTGCGTCTTTCCTTCTCACGGCTGGTGTTTATTAGCTTATACCTCCTTGCTCGATGCAGTCTCCAAAGCAATTATTATTACGCTATTCCACTATATGCACCAGGGTTTCAATTCTTAAAATTCTAATCAACTATCTATTTCGAGTTAGACGCCTTTTCTGCATTTTAACTGGTTCACATAATAAATTTATTATTATTATTACTATTACTATTAATATTAATATTATTATTATCTGGCCCGTAAAGCAAGCGAAGCATCAGAATAGCGAGACAAATAAGGGATAGTGTTCAGATCTTAACCAGAAGGTGAGTTGTAACGGGAAACTTTTAAAACGTATATCTATCTATCTATTTATAATCACGGATTTAATACTTCGCTATTCTATTGCCATTATTTAAATATTTTGTGCGCTTTTCGAGGTAACGGTACAGATCTAAGCAATTCATCAATGAACCGGGGGGAAGTCGTGACCTTTGGGAATGGCTGTCAATCTTGCTAGCCCTTTCCAACGGAGATTCTATAGTGCATGTGTTTTATTGATGCAATCTGCACCCCTTGTGCATTACTTGATGCCTTTTCCCCATTTTGAAATTTCGCTGAACATTTTATATTGAACCCATCCTTAGAATATTATAAAGAGCTCTTAGCTGTCAAACTTGATTCTTACTAAGCTTCTCTATTATTTTTACATAATTGTGGATCGTCTTATTCACTAACTACATTTCCCTATAATCCG